TGGTCGTCTGGGGCGTCACCCGGGGGGTCGTGGGCCCGCGGGACGCCACAGCAGCGACGGGCGTGCCGAGAGAGAGCGGGCAGGGAGAGACCCGGGGCACGCGCGTTCTGGCCACGGAAGAGAGCAGGCGTACGTTGTGTACTACGCCCACGATGATGGTGGCTACTACGAAGACTACGGCGACTACGACGACGGATACTACGACGACGACGGCTACCACGACGCCGGGGACGCCCACTACGCCGGCGGTGGAGACAGCTACAGCTACTCCTCAGGGTACGAAGACAGCCGTTCATCTGACGGCGGCATCCACTACGTCTACTACNTTGTTTTTGAGGCAGATTTGGCGTTTCATGTTGCCGCAAATCGGCATGCCGTGCATCCCCGTCTTCGAGGACAACCAGGGGGCGATTCAACTACATAGCGCAGAACCCCATCTCAAACTCGAACTCGAAGCACATAGATGTAAGGCACCATTTTCTCAGGGAACTGGTAGAGAGGAAGGGAATTTCGGTCTTTCACGTGCCGTCGCCGTACCGGCGTGCAGACTTCCTTACAAAGAGTTTGTCGAAGGATGCTTTCGAGTCTCACCGTGATTTTGTGATGAATTTGGCATGAACATTTTGTTGTTTTTTCTGATATGTTGTGTTTTGGTTTTGTTTTGCTTCTCGTTTTGTTTCCCGTTTTCTTTCATTTCCCGCGCCAAGTATTTGTTACGCGCGATGCAGCATTCATATTCCTTTGAATTGTTTTTCTCTCTCTTATGTTATTCTGGTAAAGTCTTGGTGGCATATCGTCTGGGAAAGACGTCTTTTGGTTGAGATATCGGGTGTTAGCGAAGTTTTCAGTGAGAGACTGTTGCGAGCAGGGGGGACGTTAGATATACTCGCAGCAGTATCTGGTCGTGAGGATCCCAGGGGATACGTGTTGGGAATTTCGTGTGGAGTAGGGTACCACCGGTGCAGTCACGGGGATCCTTTTGGCGTGGTGGTTGGTGCGATGGAGCTTGCGTGCGTGCTGCGCACTTCTTCCCTCTCTCTC